CATTTCCAGTCCAGCCCAGAACAGAACCTTCCATCTCGACAGAAATGGAGTTCCAACTGTATCTTCATCTCTCTAGCATGAGTATTTATTGTTATAGTTTTGTAAAAGGCAGTTCTGCCTAAAAACAGTTTAAATTCCATCAGTTCTGCCTGAAACAGTTTAAATTCCATCAACCATTCTGGCCAGAACAACCTCTTTATACTGAGATAAATTGTTAAAGTCCTCACCAGTCTGAGGCAAGAAAAGAACTTACTTGGGAGATATTCCTCACCCAAATTCACAATCGTTTGTTTGCAGAAATCAGTAACTTGGGGCGCAAGTTATTCATTCCAAACTAAGTCTGCTAGAATTTTTATTACTAACAGTGGCACGCTCGCACACCAAAGAAAGCTGACTTGTTGACCAGTCTATGGTTCTCAAGGCAGTGGGGAACTTTGCCCTTCCATCACAGGAGTAAACGCAAAACGGGCAAACATGTATTAACATCTCCCTTGGAGATGCTCTAAGGCCTCAATCGGGATTGCCTTTAATGAATTTTTTTAATTCCTAAAATACTATTATTAATTTTTAAAAATGACATCACCTCTACCTCCATATCCAACTTCACCACAACCACCACTACTAGGGGCGGTTCTAGCTATGGGCTGGCTGGGCTCATGCCTGGCCCAAAATTTTGACCAAAAAAAAAATTCTAAGTAACTTGCCCAGCCAATAATTCAAAGGCAACTAGCCCACTCACTTAAACAAGCCCACTTAAACAAAGAATGTATGCAGTGCAAGTGCAACAGCCAAAATTAAAATCTGATCCCGCGTGTTGCAGCCTTCAGTCAGCCACCAAACAAAAACTTCACTCACTGTGAAAAATATCAGCACCTCCCTCTCTATCTCAAGCTCAACCTTCAGCCAGCATCAACTCAACTCTCAACTTCTTTGCAGAAGCAACTTCTCTTCTTGGCAACAAGTATTCTTCTCTCATTCTCTCATTTTAATTATCTTATGCTCTTTAATTTGAATAGAAAATATTCTAGGGTTTAATTAGGAATGAATTCTAATTGGGAGATTTTGTTGAAATTAATTAGGGCTTTGATTTTAGGAATTTTGTTGAGATATTTAATTTTTTGTTGGTATTGTTATGCTGTTTAATTTGTTGTTGGTATTGTTGAGATGTTTGATTTGTGTATTGTGTTGGTATATTTGATTAAATGCATTGATTATATTATGATAATTAGTTTTGTTGTTGTTGACATGTTTGACTAAAATAATTTGTACATATTATTTATAGGTTATCTTTTATTATGTCGGATCACAATCGGAACCCCAATAAAATAAAGAACTTGTTGTCTTTTTTTAAGAAAAAGAATGATGGTGGGTCATCATCCAATACGATGCCTAGCACTTCTTTATCTACTCCTCTAATTTGTGATGAGCAAAATCTTCTCGAGTCTCCCATTGTTGAGCCTCAAGTTGAAAGAGTTGAGAGTCAAAGAGTTAATGATGATCAAGATTTTAATATCAATTATCTTGAACGTGATCCAGGATTACGTCGTCTAATATGCAAATATTCAGTGAATGAACAAGATAATGTGCGAAGAGTATATATTCTTTTATGGCCATGTCAACCCGAGTTAGAAGATTATCCAAGCCACTCAGAAGGGAAAATCTTATGTCGATTTAATAAAAAGTGGTTTGGCCAATTCTCTTGGCTTGAGTATTCAGTTGCTAAGAACAAGGCATTTTGTTTTTCTTGTTTCCTATTTGATATGACTCAATCATTTCCGGCCTTTACTGTTGATGAGTTTCAAAGTTGGAAGAGAATTGGTGGGAATCATTATGCATTTCAACATCATGTAGGCAAACTAAATTCACCACATCATCTTTCTATGCAAAAGTGGATTAGCTTAAAAAATCCTTATGCTCATATTGAAGAAGTGGTAGAAAAGCAATCAAATCAACAAGTGATAGACAATCGGTTGCGACTTACAACCACAATAGAGGGCATTAGGTATCTAGCAAATCAAGCATTGGCTTTTCGAGGCCATGATGAATCTATTAGCTCATCTAATCGAGGCAATTTCGTTGAAATCATAAAGTGTTTTGCAAGAATGAATATGGAAGTTGAGAAAGTTATCCTAGATAAGGCTCCTCAAAATGCTCAGTATATTTCCAATGACATACAAAAACAAATCTTGCATATTTTTGCTACCAAGGTGAGGAAGACAATTTGTAGAAAACTTGGGATGAACAAATTTTGTATTCTTGTTGATGAATCACTTGCTGAATCGGGTAAAGAACAAATGGCTATTATTCTAAGATTTGTTTGTTGATGGTTAAGGATTTATTCGTGAGCATTTTTTCGACATTGTGAGTGTTGCAGACACTAATGCATTGACTCTTAAAAAAGAAATATGCAAAGTGCTTGGTAATAACGGCATTCTAGTGGAAAACATGCGTGGTCAAGGGTATGATGGTGCTAGTAATATGCGTGGTTCATGGAATGGATTACAAGCATTGTTTCTTGAAGATTGTCCATATGCATATTATGTGCATTGTTTTGCTCATCGCTTGCAATTAGCATTAAATGGCGCAGCTAAAGATGTGAAAGTTGTATGGAGATTTTTTTTAATGCTAACTAATATTGTGAATTTTGTTAGTGCTTCTGCTAAGTGCCGTAATGAGTTAAACTTAATTCGAAAAACTGAACTCAATGAGTTGTTGGATCTAGATGCATTTGAGGGTAAGACTCATTACGTCCCCCCTGACTAGGTGTATCTTTTTATATTTATTAATGAAATTCACTCGTACCGTCGAGTTTATTACATAAATTTTGCCCGGTCGGCTTTCGAATCCTGGAACCGCCACTGACCACTATCGCCACCACCACTATCACTACCACCTCCTTTTCCTCAACTTCCACCACCACTACCTCCACCTCCACCTCCACAACTGTCACCACCACCACCACCACCACCACTATATGATTAGCGTATAACACTTTCAACATCATGTCTATTTTAGTCATTATTCACATTTACAACAGTTTTACATCATGTCTATTTTAGTCATCATTCACATTTACAACAATTTTATATTAAATTTTACCAAACAATTTTGACACTGCTTTTTGTACTAACAACACTGTAAAAATATTGTTTACCAAACATAGAGCTACTTTACTTTACAACTAATTATTTTCAAAGAAGTTACAGCAATTCCAAAGTAGCCCTAAAGGAGCATTACATCCTACTTGGTTTTTTTTAGAGTGCTGCTAAACGAATCCTAAAATTAACTGAGTACGCCGTATAATCTATGTACACTCTAATATTTTAATCAAAAAATAAAATTAACGAAGTAAACCCTATGTAACTACTAAAAGTACTCATAATACACCCTAATACACTCTATCATACAACACCAAACTTTGGAGGTCTTTTCCAGCCGTTTCCCGATCGAATTGGATGTTGACCCAAGGTAGAGTGAAGAGTTTTTAAATTCTGAAAGAGGCTTATTCTTGGGCACGAAAGACAACCCCTAACCAACCATAGCAAAACCACACTGAAACCACCGGAATGAGAGGGCAAGCGTGGGATAAAATTGAGAGAAAGACATGAGATTTGGGCATGTCATTTAGGGTTATTTTCCCTAGTGTTGATCAATAAATGATTCATCAAATTGACGAGAAATTGGGGTCAACGGAGTAGTTTTCTTCTCCCATTCATTTCAAATGGGATTGCGCAGCAATTTTCCATTCACATGCTCTCTCACTATCATCTAATGCTTGTTTGTTTGAGGTTATACTAATATTACATGCCAAACAAAGTCAAACTTCATGGGGACTTTGTGTAATTAACTCAAATAGAATTTCCAGGGGTGTTTGTGTTATTAACCCAAACAAAATTTCCAAGAAATAACAGAAAATATGCTTTCCAATCTGACAAAATAACAGAGTAAACTCCACCTCCTAACATGGTATATTTAACCAACCAAATCGTGCAAGGATTAAATTGGGGAGAGATGGAAATCTATCAACCTACTAATACTATAACAAGATTTACATGTGGGACCAAGTTTCCTAAATCTTATATCCAGTCTACCAAAATGGAAGGACACATTTACAAGAGAAAAAAAAATAGAGAGACATCTCCACAACCTCAAAACAAAGATCTTTTTTAGTCATTTTATATTAGGGTAAATTAGTATTTCTATAAATAATGTAGTTATAAAATGTGCTCAATTAATTTTAGAGTTCGTTCAGCAACACACTGGGATAGCATACTTGAATCCTTCAGTTCACATAAACTTCTTAGTTCTCAAAAATAAAATATTTAGCATAAGTGTTATGAAAGAGAATAGAGAGAGTTGATAGATGACTCACGAGAGTCCTTATTCCATATGGAATACAACTCCATGTTTTACATAAATATAATTCTCAACAATAAGAACGTTAAATTCTATTGTAGCCGTTAGATAAACAAGTTCACATTTCTAATCATATGCAAATACTCACGAATCTGTACCCCAGGATGAACAAGTTTAGTCAACAAATTTGGCGACGTGGGGTTTCGTCTCAGGCACATGAGTGCTTCATCCGTTGCAAAATCCTGAAAGCTAGAATTGCAGCTGTTTTGCGCAGCAGAACAGGAGCTCAAGCGAGTTGTAAAATCCACTTCAGAAATGCACACATGCATTTGAAGAAGACAAGTCCAATTCATAAAGCTTGATGTTGCCGTTTGCATGCAGAAGATCCATTTCAGTAATGCATCGCTCGTTTACTTACACCAGGAAATTAAACTTTCCTTGGATTATTACAGTGCATGAGAAGCAAAAATGTCCACGTGAGAACATAGCGAAATTTGGGGCAGCAAAAGTAATTGTGTGCGCCTCTTTTTCTATTTTCCTGGCAACCAAAGCAAATGAAATAAAATCCATACTGAATTATGCTTAATAGTCACTGTCATTCTTGAACCTCAACAACTACAAATTAATTCAAACTAAGTGAAGGTCACAGACACAAGGATGTCAAGGAACAACTTCATAAACCACAAGACCTAGACTTAACTCAGTTGCTTTTTTTGGTTAGAAACTTGCTCAACTCAGTTACAAGAAGCAAGTAGTTCATGTGCACTAGAAGTAGAAATGTGTAGAGTACTGTAATCGGGGCTGAACGCAACCGCGAGTTCCTTCGGAACCATAAATTCGGAGAGATGAGGCATTCCACATACACATCAGCACAGAATTTGTCCGGAAGGCCATTTCCCAAGAAATTTTTGCAAGTTCCATCATTTGGATTGCAAAGAAGTAATTGTTTCCAACTCCTTGCCAGTAATATCTTGGTATCCTTCCAGTAACATAATGGCTTCAAAGAAATAGAAGAATATGAGTCGGTTATCATAATCATAGTCCAAGACTCTTTCACCCCGTACTTGTTCATAATCCAAAATGAGTGTCGCCTATCGTGCTGGTGTAGTAAACAAAGACACCCTCTCAAAACACCAGTTGTAAATCTCTTATAATCTGTGACAGATTCAGGTGGGGGCAAGTCTGAGAACTTCTCCTGTGCTAAATCAAAAGCAGCAATCACACATGTACCTCCAACTTCAAGGCGTCTACATAACCAGTGGACAGCTCCATTGAGAGTCGTCCCTGACTTCTCCAAACAATGTTTGTAAGGAAAGTCTTGAACCCTTTTCCATGAACTGCTTTTCAATGAAAAAATGAGTACCATGCATCCATAAGCAACCTTGACAAATTTGTAATCATCGATCGAAGAAGCATAACCAAAACTATATGCATGATGAAACATTACTTCTTGTGGTTCTGGAGGACAAATATGACTTGGCATGGGGCAATCTGGTACTCTCAAGGACTCTCTAGTGGTGGGATTGAATATAAAGAAGGCTTCTGGCTGAGGCATGATGCAGACCAAACCATTACAGGAACCAAACATGTGAACCCACTCAGTGTTGGGATGGTTCTTAAGTGGAAAATCAATCTCCAAGGGTAACATATCATCATCTATAGGTGCTTCAGGGTCCAAGGAGAATAGGGAATTATTAGAACTGAGAATGATTTTCTGCTTCTTCCGGTGCCGGTTGAGATGGGTGTTGATGAAGTGGGGTTCGGTGGTAAGATTGAACCATGACTTTGACACGCACCTGAATCGACACACAGACTTCAGAGGAAGTCGAGAGAGTATGTCTGCAATGATATCCTGTGAAAGGTCTGGCATGCCTACTTCCCTTGATACTGAGATATCAGATATAAGCAAATGTGAGCCACCTAAATCCGGTTTGCACCAAAAGCCAACTAGTAAGCAAAATCAACAGATTTCCATAACTAACATTTTCTGCTTTTGATTTAAATGAGAAAAGAGTTCCATACACAACAAAAAATTCCCTCACATTTTCTGCTTCAGGCATAATCATCTCTTTGAATATCTACCCATATGCAAGCCAAAGGTTTTCACTTTTTATCATAAACTGCAAATTTTTCACATTTTCAACTCTTTTTTACATAAATGAAAAATCTTTGTTAAAGGGGGGCATTTTTATCACAAAAGCAATTACCCCATGTTCACAATTGGCCATCACTTCAGATTAAAAGTAAACATCACCGCAAATACTGCACAAAATTGATTTCTAAATCAAGAATTCAACATGGGTCTGCAACTTTCTAACGTTCCCTGCCCATATATTTTAGAAATTAAAAACCCACATAAACATAATCTGAAACCAATCCATTTTCTTAAAAAATAATAATAATAAGCAGAAGTTGGCTCAAAAAAAGAGTCCCAGTAGAACGAAACAATACCCAGAAAAACACGAGGGCGGTGAAGTGAGTCCACTGATACTGACTGCCCTTATTCTCCTACCTTGGGTCGCTTCGAATTGTTCCTTCTTCTACCCTAATTAGTGGCAGCAGAGAGAAATTAAAACCATGTACAGAAGTAAAATTGAAGTGAACAAAGAGAGGATTTTGAATTTCAGAAGAACTTGAATTCCAAATGGAAAAAGCAGATTAGGCTAACCCCATGCATAGGCTCCTTCAAGAACTTCAAATCCCACGAAGGGTGGCTCTCGTCGGCCGATCAGGAGCAGCATAATTTCATTGTTTTCGCATTTAAGTTGCTTATTTATAGGCTCACTCGGCTAGAAGCTTTTGACTAAGGAAACATCAGATTATATTCTCACATTGATCTTCATCTTCCACAAATTTTGCGGTCCTGAGCTAGCCTGTTTCATGACCCAATAAGAACTAAAATGCTGGCCTGTTTGTATAATGCTGGGTTTGGACCTTGTATTGTGCGCTTAGCATGGCCCAATACGCTAACTACTTGAAAGTAATTTTAGTGTACCAAACCAAAAACCTGTTTAGTGGTACTTCGTTTCTCAATTTTGGAAGATGTCTTGAATACGAATATTCTTTCTATATTATCCAATAATTTGGATGAATAGTTTATTTTTAATGTGATGGAGGTTTCTATTAGTTTAACAGTTACGATATAGGTTTTTGTCATAAATGAGAAAAGGAAAATCGAACTTGATACGTCTTTAAGTTCGACACCTGATTGTTGTGGCTAGCTCATTGTGATAGCATAGTTTTGTTGTAAGTGCATTATCTCGTGGCAAGAGCTGAGAAAATTGGAATTATCAGTAGGCTTTCCAAATAACATGTTTATTCTGAATTCAAATAGACCCTTTGGGACATTTATTTACTTATCTGAGAGAATATCAAGAATATTCATAGAACAAGGCCATGATAATTACAAAACATGATCCATCAAATTAAACACAAAGGGTTAGAACCAAAAAATAAAAAAAGAATTGAACGGAATCAATAGTAACAAGAATGATATATTACAGGTTTCAAGGTGCTGTGGCCTCAACCTAGAGCATGATATATATTTCCCTATCAGCTTTGAATTAGCAGATCATCAAACACAACCACCAGACTTGTCAGAACACATAGAGAGCAGCCAGTTCCTCCAAGGACTCTGAAGCACCAAAGCTTGGATCAGCAGCATTCTCTAGCATCCATATCAAGTGGTCAAAGAGAACCACCTCACAGTTGACCAAGATATCTTCTGCTTCTCCTCCTTGCTTTTGCTTTGAGGACTTGTCTATTAAAGCATTCAACAAAGGATGGTTGAGGTACTTGGAACTAATGACATAGCGCTTTCTTGTGCTTCCCACAAAGATTATAGTTTGGTGGTGATGATCAATTTCATGCATTTTGTCTCCATGGCCAACCCATAAATCTTCTCTTGTGGATTTGGACCTTAGGCTACTGTATGATGAAGATCTCCCTAGCTGCCTTGACAAGCTCTTGCACTTCCTAAGCAAAAAATTGATTTTCTTCATCCTTAAAAGCCTTATCTTTTGAGATTTTGAGATCACAGAGAGAGAGAGAGAGAGAGAGAGAGAGAGGGGGGGGGGGGGGGGGAGAGAGGGAGAGAAGGAGAGGGAGAGGGAGAGGGAGAGAGAGAGAGAGAGAGAGAGAGAAAGCTCAAAAAAATCATCATAGAAATGATATGAACAAGAGCAGTTTGTTGTGGTGTTTTGGGAGAAAAGAGAGAGGGGAGGGGGGGGGGGGGGGGGGGGGGGGGGGGGGGGAGATAATATTTCTGGTGTGGAAACTAAGGTGATTGAGATATATAGGAGGCTTGACACATACTCATGAGAAAATCAGATATGTAAAGTGTGTTTTAAGATGTGAGGATTGGGTTGGGTGGGTGCACAGTCGTTGTTTTCCGGTGCTAGAAAAATTGTGGGGTCTATGAGTCTGCAACCGAACATTTTTTAGTGACATAAACGAGTCATCTTTTTCACATACACAGGTACAGCAGACAGACAAGCATTCACAAGTGTTGCCACTAGCTAGTAGCTATTCTCCTAGTCAAGGCACCGAAGCATATGTAGCACTAGGATACTAGCTAGAAGCCTATAGCCTTTCCCCTGTTGTTTTCATATCTATAGATAGATGAGCAATGCTAGGGTCAGTTGCACACGCACGAGTGGGTGGCGATTACAATGCATCAACTGCTTGGAACCACCCAACGTGAACGAGTGTCCTTGGCAAAATCCATAGGTAGATATACTTGGCCAAATACTAGCTTACTGTAGCTAGGCACCCAAAAACTGTTGCAGCATGTGGCTAAGTTGGTTGCCTTATCAGTAAATAAATTCAAGTGTGTTTAGTCTTTGCCAACAAAATGAGAAGTGCTGCAAACTCAAGTAGGCTGAGGAGGTTAAGTGTTAATCAAGCATCACCTCAGTTAGTCAGTTCAAAAGCTAACAACTTCTATAATTTATAGCTGACTCGGCAAGAAGAACTGAACAACAATATAAGAAGCTCAATGAATAATTGGCTTGATACTCCATTCATCCTTGTTAACTCCTAATTAAGAGTGGTTATCACCAACTTTAATGATTTTAAAGGTTTTGGTGTTTTATAATCAATTAATTATGCGAGGAATGAAGTTAGAATATTGATCATTTCATGGGACCCTTAGTGTTAATAATGAATTTAAGATGGACAAAGAGTTAATTGATGGATTAGTAAGTTGATAATACTTATCAGGAAGCTTGTGTTGATTATAAGTGAGAAATGCAGCGGTGCAATCATTTTCTAATCTAGCTGGCTGCCAACATTTCTGGTTGTTGACAAACACCAAAAACATGCTCAGCCACACACTATTTGTTGAACATCTTATCACACAGCTGAAATGACTATGCATTTTCTTCTCCTATTTCAAATGACATGTCATGCTTGTGTTGATTTGAGATACATGTAATTTGTACTAAGTAAATCAGCACCAAAATTCATAGGTGTCATTTTTAGATTAGTCGTATTAAACCTAAATACGGAGAAAAACTTCCATGTGCCAGTGCATGAATTTTTTGTTCCTACCTCTCTCCTCACGTGAATATGAACCATTTATTGGTTAACGTGTCATGTAAAAATCATGATTACTTAAAGTCGTGTTATCGTGTCATGTAAAAATCTGTCATTTGTTAAAAACCGCTTGATCATAATCAAATAATTAACACAAGTGGGACCTGGCCACAGCCTAAGGGTGTGTGTTTGGAGAACAATGGACCATTTTCTTCAGCCTCCTGTTCCAAATAAATAGCAGAAAGGGATCTTCACTTGCTTAGAAGCAAAAGCATCATCTATCAATTCTATCGCATAATTGAAGTATTGATTATTGAAACAGGACCAAGTGATAAAATCCTGTCTCTGTTTTATGCCAACATGATTAAATCCTTGTCCCATTGCAACCAAAATCAAGACAAACTTCTCTTAGTTGTAGACAGAGACATCTGATCTTTGTTGCGTGCAACTTAAGGTTAATTGCAGTACAGTTGCCACTTGTTGCCAATAATATTCAATTGGAGCTTGTGATTTTATTGCATTTTAATATCAAGAAAAAGAAAAGAGAAAAAAGAGTTTGTTTTTCTTACAACATCATGAGCACTCCTGTGAAATCATACAGGACTTGAACATGAGGTTGTTCTTAAGAATACAATATTGCATACGCTGCCTATAAATACAACACGAAGCATGACAAGAATGTACAACACAAACAAATTTTAACTTGAGTATAATACTTGAAAACTGCCTACAAGCATTTTCGAAATCACCTAAAAAGGTTACAAATACAGTGATGCCACCACAATAGAGAAAAGTCTTTAAATTTTGGTTCACCCTCTTTTCGTTTAATTTCTGTGGAATTTCAAAATCAAGCTTCCATTGACATCAACAATCAATTGAGCTATTTACTCTTCAAGCAAAATTTATAGTATTCTCTGCGTATAACAAGAGAATACTTCATCATTCCAAATTCAGGACTTGCATGTAAATCAATGTCCATCTTGTGAAGAAAGCTACATCTAATTGTTACCCTCAATTGGGAAGATAAGCTGCTTCCATATGAGCTTTTATACGTTAAAACGAAACAGCATGACATCTCCTTCTTGTACAATGTATTCTTTGCCCTCAGATCTCAACTGCAAACATCAAGGTAGCTTGGGTGAATCAGCTTGATCTAGAATGATATTAAAGGAAATGAGACTTTTTCCCTCTGTTTGTTCAGAAAAAAAGAACTTAATAAAAAAGATCCAATTCTATATAACAGTCGTTCTGTAATCTTGATTCTTGACCAAAGGTGGACAGCATTTATATGTGATGCTACTGGTTAACAAGACAATTATAGCTAATAACAAGGCAGCCAACTTACAACTCCTCTTTCC